AAAGATCCTCTTCTTTTGTCATACTCTCGAGTTGGTTTATAAATACAACTTAAAATTATATTAGCTTTACAACTATCAATAGAGTGCTACTTTGATAGCTTTAGTTACTTATTCCACCACTGTGCAAAGATCTTCTTCTTTAGTCATACTTTTGAGTTGGTTTCCATCTTTTGTAAGGGTGTGATTCAAATTATAACACCATATGTGACCCTTATAATCATCTCTGTTCCTGTAAACATTCCTATCCACATACACACTTTTTCAAGAAATTATAAGTCTCTGTTAGGCTGACTTGTCCTGACTAATAGCCACTTGGTCTTCAAAATGAATGCCTACCATATAGAAGTACAAGTTTTTTCCAACTTTCAAACCAAATCTTGTGTTAATCCAGTGACATTTGAGAAATAGCCCTCTCTAAAACATTACTCGTGTTTACTTCAATGTTTGTTGCTCAATAATACTGAAATCCTTTAATAATACAAAGTATTGGTATTTTTATATGTAGTGTTATTTGATATTGTTAAATTGTTTTTTTGTTACAGTGTTTATAATACTTAGAAGTCCATACAGGTTTCCAGTTAACTTATGGTATGTGTAGGGGTGTTTCACTTGTTTCTCCACCATGGCAGTTTAGTGGGTGCAAAAGTCAGCAACAGTAAAGTTACTACTATCGAGATGCCTTTAATTTATATTTTTAATAATCAGCTATTTTGTGATTAATATTAACTTCCAATTCTTTTCTTCACAAAAGAATTTTCGGTTTTTGTTTTCATAAATGAGAAACTTGCTTCATATCAGTTTTCATTCCAATCACTGATTATGCCTTCATTGTGAACTGGTATCTCAGTATTACTATCATATTCATCTTGAAAATGTACTTCTTTAACTTGAAATGTGATGAATCAATTATCAACATCAGTGTGTCAGAAAAGAATATACCAAGATAGTGAGAAATAAGTTGAAGTATACATGGTAATTTATTAAATACTTATTTAGCATAAAAAGCTTGTTTCAGTGCAATAGGATAATTTCCCACTTTGCAATATTCCTTTGCATAAGACAAGTCTATCAGAACTTCTAATTTTTAACTGCCCAAGACCGTTAGAGGGGTGATTACAGTAGTACAAATGCATGATCTTGCACTTAGTATAATGTAAGTTGCTAAATACAGGGTGTCCCAAAAAATGTATACACAATTTGAATGATTATAAATAGAATGTTTATTAAGATATATCTGAG